CCTGCTGTTGGTGATGGGAGGCTTCATGGGCCTAAAACCAAACATTTACACTTGAGAATTTCAGCCTCTCACAATGACTTTCAAAATTCAAAGTTCTCCAGACAATTCAGACCAGAAGAAACAGTCCAAAAGCTACTCTCTGCAGCAGACATCCAGCAACCACCTAGTCACTCTTAGAGCTTCCAATACAAAGCACTGAAAATCACTGTGCAGACACAAAACTTTTGCAACTAAGTTGCTGACTGTCATCTTGCTTTCAAACAGCTGACTGAACTACACAATACCCTCCTTCATAAGGGACATACCACACCAGCTGATGAAATCAGTTGCATTAGTCTCTCAGTGCTGAAACTAACTTGTCAAAAAAATTGCACTCCACACTTAAGTATTTAACAGTACTTTACTGCAACAACACACAAACACACATGACATAATCATCTACTTGTCTATTACCTAGGAAAGGAAAAGCATCATGTTGCTCCATTTCTCAGAAGAAAACTCTTAGTGACTGTAAAAGGGGCTGTTGCTAACTGATTAAAGGACTCTAGTTATCTGAATACATAAGCTAGTTAAGTTTATTTTAAAAGTTTTCACTTCACTCTGCTAAAAGAGTTGGTTGAAATGAATCCCATTAGTCAATCTGGAAGGCACCTGTGAAGGTAGTCCGTAGCAAAACACCTATCAATCGTTTCTCAGGTCTTTTAATCTTCTACCCCATTTGCATTCTTTAGCAACATTAGTTGTTCAGACCCTAAACTTACAAAGACAGATTAGTAAGAGAAAAACCAAACAAACTATAATCAAACACTTAAATTCCTTTCATGTTCATCTTCTTCCAACAGTTTTAGGGTTTTTATTTTATTTTTGGTGGTGATACGGGAGTTTGACCTCAGGGCCCTGTGCTTGCCAAGCAGGTGCTCTACTACTTGAGCTATATTCTAGCCCTAGTTTTAGGTTTTGATAAAGTATTTATTAGACATTTGCTATTATGATGTGCTCTTCCACTCCCAAACCGGGGGCTGGGCCATTGTCTAGAAAGTTTCTTTAGCTTCACTGAAACCAAAATTTCATTATGGCTTGGGTTCTTGGTATTTATGAATAGTTATTCTCTTGGCTTTGATTCTTTCAAAGTTCTCCATACCCCCATATTTATTAACATTTAGGAAATGATGGGGAGGGGGATCCTGAAATAGTTCTTTCTAATGTTATTCTGTCACCGATTATTTTTTTAAAACTCTTTTGACAGTGAGCAAAAGCCTCTATGCTTGAGTTTTGTAATCCTAAAAGGACACATACACTCAAAGGTAAAAGTTCCAAATATTTTAAGAACACAATGTCCTAGAAGAGTGCACTCCATCATCTTAGACACTTTAGACAATTATTTACCCTTTTCACTCTATAATCACTCGAGTAGCTAGCTTGATTAAAGAAAGGGGGTTAAAAAAAGGAAACACACATACACACAAAGCTCCTCCCCTAATAGATAAGAACATCTACCACACATTGCTGCATGTGTGACAACATTTAATGACAGTACAACAGCTAAGCCTGGAACTACTCTCCCCCAAATGATTATTAATAGGTGTGCTATCCAACCAAAGTCATCAGTTTTGACTGGAGGTGTGGCAGAGTGCCTGCTTTGCAAGTGCAAAGCCTTGAGTTCAAACCTCAGTTCCACCAAAACAAAAACAAAGTCATCAGTTTCAATTTAACAATTTTGATTTAAATACCGATAGGGTCCTAGAAGCACACTCAGAAATGGTGTGATCATCTTTCTAGTACAAATATCTTCCTAGACTTAATGCTCATCTAAATTATAGTCCACTTTTAATCTAATTTGTAGAGCTCCTGTAACTGTTGGGGTCTACCTCCCCTAGTGACATCAGTAGAAACATTACAGAATTGGGACTCTAAACTTACCATTTTCCAACTTGGCTATAAGATACCCAAGTTTCCATAGGGTATACAAACAGTTAATAGTTGAAGATGGCTCAAGATATACAATTTCAAAAGCTAACAGATCAGATAGTACGGAATGCAAATCTTCTGGACAAAGTTCAAACTTTTAACATTTTCAGGCATTTTTCAATTCTAAACAACCGTTAGTACCATAGTAAAAAGCACTTTGCCATTTTACCAATTCAGATCTCTGTGGCAACATAAAGTATTTTGACAGCATTACTATGCTTACTCTCATACAAGAGTCATACCAGGTCCCAGTTTCTTGAATGAAATACTGTAGAACCACTACAAGAATCTCTCTGAGGATTCCTCAGATCCCCATACTTTTACATGATTGATGCTTTCTAAGAGGGAAACTGAGTTTTCCCAACTTGTCTCTGTGGAAGAGACAGAGCAAAGTAACAACCATGGCTTGCCTTTAGCTAACTGATGTTATAGAAATATAACTTCTAAATGTGCTTTGGACTAACATAATAAAATCAAAGTTATAATTTTATTTCTTATCTCTTTCAAGTGTAAGGATTTTTAGTCTTGCCCAAGCCTTTTTTTTCTAGGGCTGGCAAAAAACAAAATAGAAATGTTACTTCATCACCCAGGGTGGTAGGATATGGCACCTTGAAATCTCCAGCGCCAGAGGGTAAAAGATTTTGTACTGAAGCAAATTAGCATCAATGAGTCATATCTTGAATGTCCTGTTAGGAGAATCATCCATCAAATATTTTAACACCTATGACTTTCACTTTCTGCTAGGTTATCTGGAAAGCAAGCAGGTATTAAGTTGTTTTAAACTATAAATTCAACAGGATGTTCCAGGAAACAAATAAGAGAGTTTACTTCTCCATTTCCCCAGTGAAAATTACTTAAAGCTGGAGCTAATTGTCCATTCATATTTTTCCATAGTAAAGACGGAAATATTCTCTACCCACTCAATTGTCCTCGGCTCTAAATTATGAGTTTTCCAACAATTTTCACTACACACAGTATAAGCTCAGGATCAAATATTAGCTTTCACACTTGTCCATCAGGTGGGGAAGAAAAAAAAAGACTTTAATAGTTTGGCATTTGCTCCATCCAGGGAAAGAATACTAATTTTAAAAAAGTATTCCAAATGATCTTTCAACTAGCTTCCCAAAGATGAGTTGAGGATTTTCCCTTTACATAAATAACTTGTTTTCTCTAATCTCCATTAAGTTTACAGACACCAGGTTTAATGTGGTTTTAATGATGTGAAAAATCACTTTTATGACCCATCAATCCTTTATTTTAAAAAGACCATTTTGTAGTTTCTTCAAGAAAAGAAGGTATTTGCCACCTTTACACCCCATATGTCAGCCAGTCATGTAGTTTCTTTTTCAATGCATTCTTAAATCATTACATTATCAAGATCAAAGCACAATAAAATACTAGATCAGAATGAGAAAAGGAGGAAGTTCATGAGTTCCATAATTTTAAGAATTTTCTTTCAATTTTATGAAGTCGGAATATAATCCAACAATTTCTTAAAAATCAAATTGCCCACATTACAATAAGCCAGGTCTACAGAATAGATAACTTTGAATTCTCCAATTCTCTTTAACAACTTCTTTGGGATGAGGCCAGATGCCGATAGGATAATCTTTTGAAAATTCTGCATCCGTTCCTGGTTAGTTCCCAAAGGTCTCAAGCGCCCAAACTGCGCGTTTGGGATTTCACGAAGTGTTCAAAGAGGTTAAATAACTTAAAGGCGGGAAGGATGCACTTAAAAGCTACAAGCTTCCCTAACCTCCTCCGGTTCCGAAGTTTCCCCGTGAGCTCATAGCTACTGCCCACTAAATGCTTCGTTCGCAAACAGAAACGAAGGAGAGAGAGAGAGAGAGAGAGAGAGAGAGAGAGAGAGAGAGAGAGAGAGAGAGAGAGAGAGAGAGAGAGAGAGAGAGAGAGAGAGAGAGAGAGAGAGAGAGAGAGAGAGAGAGAGAGAGAGAGAGAGAGATTACAGTTTATCTTCAATCTTCCAAACAAGGGTATCCCACCTAAAGTGGCAGGGCTAGAGGATGGCCGACGTATCGGTACAGTCACTTTTAAGTTTCTTACAAAAAGCGAAAACCAACACCCCGAGTGACTCATCTGGGGGCTTTGTAAGCGGACTTTGTTTGCGCTTTGCACTCTTGGTCGCCCGCTAGGCTGCAAGTACCCTTGGAGCGGGCCGCGAGAAAAGCGCTCCGGGGGAAGGTCGGGCCTCCAGGAGTCCCGGCCCAGCCCGGCCCGGCTGGGGGATTCCCCGGACTGAATGGGACGGCGGGAGAGCTGGACAGAGGAGAGGGTGCCGGCTGCAGGGGCTCGGCCAAAGAAAATGAAAACCCAGTAAAAAAAAGTTTGGGGAGGGGAGACGCACTCACAACACCCCCCAATCCAATACGAGGAGGGGGGCGGCGGGAAGGGGGAGTGGCGGGGAACCAGGGATACCCGCTATTCGCGGGACGAGGGTCAGAAAGTCAACACGCAGGCATACACACAAAAAGAGAAGAGGGAGGTGAAGAGAACAGAGGGCGAGCGAAAGATGGATGAAGTGTCGGGGGGGAGACTCGGAGCACGACCAGGGGACCCCCTCACCCCACAGTGCGGCCCTGCCCGGCGCGCAGTAGCCGAGCGGCCCGCGTTATCCAGCGGTCCGGCGCCCTGCTTTCTCTGGGCCGCGAGGTGGTGACAGCGCCCGGCCTCCTCCCTTCCCCTTCAGGGCGGGAGGGAAGGGTGTGTGTGTGTGCGGGTGTGCTGGGGGGGGGCCCGGGGTTCACCCCGAGGCCTGCTCTCTCCCCCGCACCCCGTGAGGCCGCCTCCTTTCACCTCAGCAGCCGGGCTCAGCCGGGGCGGGCGGGCGGAAAAACAAAGGGGGATTAAGGCCGGGCCGGAGAGCGGAGCCGGGAGGGAGGGGAGGAGGAGCGCCCGCCCGCCCGCCAGCCCGGGGCCCGGCCCCCCTGTCCCCCCCGGGTCCCCCCCGGGGGGGCCCCCAGTACCTGGAACAGGAACGCGGTCCAGTTGGCCTCCATGGCTGCGGCGGCCGACCCCCCTCCTCCCCACTCCCCCCGCTCGGGGAGCCTCCTCAGCCGGAGGAGGCGACAACAAAGCGGCGGCGGCGGCGGCGGCAGCGGCAGCGGCGGCTCCTCAACATGGCAGCGCCGAGCGCGGCCACTTCCGGTAACCTCCGGGACGCACCACCGCGGCGGCGAGCGCGGGCGGGGGGGGAGCCCCGGCCCGGCCGCCGCCGCCCCCAGTTGCCCGGACCCCCTCTGGGCGTCCGCGCTGCCGGCCCGCCGCCTCGGAGCTCAGCCAGTGCCCGCCGGCTGTGGGGTCAGGGCCCCCGCGGGGGGGCTGGGGTGGGGCCGGGGGCGGGGATGGGGCGCGGCGTCCCCCCCCGCGGGGGTGTGTGGTGCTGCGGTCCGTGGCTCAGGCAGCTGGAGCAGGGGGAGCTCAGGAGAGAAGATGGAGGACGCCAGGGTCTGGCGCTGGCCCGCTGGGCACAGCTGGGTCGCCTCTCGTGACTCGGACTCAGTGCCCAGCAGCGCCGCGTCCGTGTGAGAACCTCAGCAGAGGGCACCGAGGCGGCGGCCGCCTGGCTCTTGTCACTCCTGCACAGCACAGCCCCCGCCTCCAGATTGGGACGCTCGCTTCCAGCCTCTCCCCTCTAGCATTTCATTCCCGGCCCGCTAAGCCCTCAGCGCTCTTGCTGATACGCCATCGCCCTCAGGTCGGCCTTCCAAGTCGAGCAGGGAATCCCACTGGGGTGCAGCCTCAGATCCTCCCAGTGTGGAGGGAAACACTTCCCACGCTTAGAGATGTCATTACTAGGTTATATTTGGGTGAAGGGCTGAGCTTTCCACCCTCCTCTTCACTCCAGATAGGATGTGAAATTCTACCCGAAAACCCCTCCTCTCCCGCCAAAAAAAAAGACAAAAACAAATAAAGTATAGATATGAAATTATTTTAGTCCTTTAGTACAGTTTGCTTCCCTCTTCATCCCCCCAAAACAAAAAACAAACTTCTGGTTGGACAGCGTCAGATGTCAGTGAGATGACCCCAGCCTGTTTGCAGTTCCAAGTCTTCTGTGTAGGCGTCACTGCTACTGGAACTTGGTAGATCAGGAGCCTGTATGATGATGTCCTGAACGTTTTCTATTCTTTCCTCACATAGAGGTAGCTACTGGGAATATCAGAGACAAGCTATTATTAAACAAGCGTCTCCAGTCCAAAAAGTCTGTGTTGGGGAAAGGGCAGGCTATATCAGTGGTATTTTTACAAACTGGTTTTAAAAAATCCCTCAGATGGGCACAATATTTCAAGACTTCAATGTCTTTAAAAACCAACTGACTCCTAGGTCACCTCCATTTATTCTCCTCCAGTCACTTCTAATAAAAATGACATCTCCAAACTTCCCCCATACACGATACATATGGTAGCAGATCTATCCACTAGTGTACAAGTGTATCCCCCCCTCCCACTCTTCCATCAATCACCAGAATGAAGGGGCTGGAAAACGTTGATCTGGTTCCTTTTAGAGCAGATTCCCCATTGGACATTGCCTGGAGGCCTTGGGGATGAAGGAGATGTTCTGCAGTTTGGATCAGTAGCAGAAGCAGGTGCACCAGGGAACAGGCTAGCCTAAGACAGGAGGGGACAGAAGATGATGGAAGAGTTTTGTCATGGTGGGCCCCGTCTCTTACAAATATCCATTAGCCCCACCTTTGGAAAGAAAAAAGATGGTTCAGAAAGCCTAAGTTGATATATACATGCAAGCTTAAGGAGGCAACACAGATGCAAATTTAAGGAACTAAGGAGGTAAACTAAACTCTTATGTTCTTTCTCTCACCTTGGACACTGCATGTCCTCCTTGTATTTTTTATTCAGTGGGTAACAGACTTTGCTTCTTCCTTGCCTTAACACATTCAGGTTGAGGTCTCTAAAAATGCATTCCCTCAGTTTCCCTCCTTTCCTGTATAGCCTCTCCTTCCTAGCAGTTGTCTTTCAAACTGTGGTGAAAATGAAACTTCAGGATTAGGAAAATTGTATCTAATGAAATCATGACTCTAATGACAATATTGTGGATTCTCTTGCAGTTCTTATCCTGAGATCTAGAATCCCTTTCCCCAGCAATTTTTCTCACACCACCGTTAAAGGGCTTTCCCCCACCAACAGCAAGTAGAGATCAAGTGAAAACAATCTAGTTCTCATTGAGGAGTTCAGATACAGAAGTTTTTTTTTTTTTTTAAGAGAACAGCTAATTTCTGTCCCTAAGACAAAACCAAAATTACTGATTTTTTTTCCCCCCAACCTCTCCCATTAAAAGAAAATTAACCTTTTAAATTATTATTTTTTTTTGCAGTACTATGGGTTGAACTCAGGACTTCTCAAAAGCCCTCTAACACATGAGACCTACCAGATCCCCAGATGAAATTTTAAATATTGGAATATTTTCCAGAAGGAAAATACCTAAAAACAAAGGGGAACATAATCAGCTCCAACTGTTAAAAGGAATATTATCAAACCAGTAAGATCAAAGACTCCATCCCTTGAAAGGACATTTCTACCTTTGGGACAATATTTTTAACCACAAAATGAGCCACTCTCAGGCCTGCTTTTACAGACTTTACACTGGTGTCCAGTTAAAAGACTACAAATGTCTACAGACAATAAATTTGTCTCAGTTATTCAATTATTAAAATCAGCTTTCAGTGAGTGACTCAATGGTGTTACCTTTAGACATATTTGAAATGTTCAGTGTCTAAGTAAAAACTATATTGTACCTACATCCACCCCAACAAAAGTCAGATTCTCAATTCGCTCTGTTCAGATTCTTCTCACACCAAGCTGTATGACCTGTCACTTAAAACTTTCAGGACCTCACAGTTTCTTCATCTTAAAAATGAAAGCAAAGTACCAATCCCACAAAGACAACCTGTGGACTAAATGAGAAATGCATGTAAAATTCTTAGAACATTTGTGAAATATAACAGGTGCTAAGTAAATTATTTTTATTGGTGTTGAGTGGCTCTGGATTATCTTTGGGGCTGAGACTAACATAGCTAGCTCTAAGCCTGTGTTAGTCCTCAAACTTTCTCTCAAAGTGACATGTTTTTCCCTATCCCTCTCTCATTCAAAGAGCCCTAAGGTAAATGGCCAAAGGACTAATGACATATGACAAAGAAAGATTTAAGATTTGCTTTTCTAAAACCAACTTTTAACAAGTATTAGAAAGTAACAGGATATTTTCTTCTTTGTTAGGAGAGGATTTTAAAGTCCTGAGAATACAGACTTAGAATCCTAGGAATAGAAAGCAATTTTGCTATTGTCGATTGTTTGTCGTTGGGGACTGTTCAACAAACCAAAGCCTAATCAAATCCAAAACTTGAGTAGAGAATGTCTAGTTGAAAGAAACTTTAAATTGGCAAGTTAATAAACTAACTCTTCCCGTAAAAAAGCCAGAACTGACAATTAACAAACTTGCTAATAAAAACCAAGACTGTAATATTTAAAAATACTAAAAAACATTAGCCAGAAAGAAACGTTACCTTTTGCTATCACCCTCAACACAACTGGGGACAAGCACACCAATAATCAGATCAAATGAACTCCTCTCCCCATCTCCCTGCCAGGTCAGAAAATCCCCCAGATTTCTTTGGGAGGAAAGCACAAGTACTCTCATCCCCTTCTACAAGTCCCCAAGATGGATAACCAGCTAAGAGCTTAAAGCCACTTGCCTATGACATATGTGATCAGATACCATATTTGTGTTTTAATTCTACCACTTAAAGCGTTATCACTAGTTACATCTGTCTTAACTGGCAAAGTGAGGAAGAGAAATAATGAAGAATTCCCCGTCCCCCAAATACCTATGTTAGTTCCTTGACAGCTAGAACATAGTCACAGGGAACAAAAGAACAGAGAACAAATCTACTCATATTCCTAGTAAACAGAGTTCAACTAGTACTTAAGGACTCTTGATTTAAAAAAAAAAACAAAAACGCTCTATTGTTTATAAGAAAGGTCATATACCCAAGACTCCAAAAATAAGTCCAAAGTCACAAAAACACATTTATCACCTTAAGTCTTCTTGACTGGCAAAAATCAAAACTAAAATACTAAAACATAAATACTAATTTCCATTTTACAATCCTTAAACGAACGACAGAATATCCAACAAATAGTAAGCAAAATAGCATAGGCTATAAACAGGAAAGAAACTAAGAGAGGTCAAAAATACACCAAGAAATTCAATACATTTGGAAAACACTCTCAGGCACCAACATTTCTCCTTTGGACACCTGTTCCTCACTGCCCTCAGATACCCCAGGCCTAGGGTAATGGCTGAGCTTGAAGGAAAACAACAACAAAAAAACAACCTGACACTTAACAGTCACATAAACTTGGTGGTCCTGAACAAAACTGCAAAGCTTAGCCTCAGTTACAACATTATGCTAATAGTCAAAAACATAAACTAAATCTTCACATAAAGTTGCTCATATATAGAGATGGACTTCTTCTCAGTGGCTATAGCCTCCACCCCAAATACACTGATCTATAATGACATTAAATAGCATTGTTTTTCTCAGCTAAACTGAAAATGCTATTCATGTACAAAAAAAACTTACCAATTTTAATACCTGTCCAAAGGTTATTGCAAAGAGTAGGGCATGGCAAAAACTCATCTAGTGAATACCTGCTACCTCAACTCCAACAGAAACATTTACTCTTCAGTTTCTTCTCTGCTGAGACAATTTGATGTTCAGCTGGGTGTCCCTCTATTCTTGGCAATGAAGAGAACAGGGAAGAGTGAAACAGGTGATGAGAAACCTATGCAGTAGGTTCCCTGGGTGAAGGAAGAAAGCAATAGCAAACTAAAACACTGATGGTCAGAATGACCTTTGGGAAAGCTGCTCCATTCCAGAAAGCAATGCCAACAGATTGTAATGTAAGGCCAGGACAGTGTAAGATCTCGCTAAGATTCTGAAGAGGAAAAACTCTTTTGAGGATGTTTATTGACCAGGATCCTCTTAACTAGAAGTGACCTAAAGTTCTACATTCAGTTACCCAGTCCAGGCATAAAGGATGTGAAGAGATCAGATGAGCTAGTTGTTTAAAGCTCCTAACAGGGACAAAAGCCATACTCAGCATTTACTCTTTAGAGTTGTCAACAATACATTGTTTATCTCTGCTGTCCAAATACTTCACCTGTGGTGCCTGAGTACTGGCAGCAAAGTCTTTGTTAGGTCTGAAGAAATAAGACTAGAATTCCAGGACAGCACAATAGATTTTGATGTAATGAACAAATTACATGGGAAACAATCTAGATTTTTTTCCTATAACACAGTATACAAGGCTCTACTCAACTGGCGGAAGTTGATTTGCTCTCTACTCCCAGGGTCTGACCCTGCCCATGGCTTTCTATTATCCTACCTCTTCAGCTTCCAGCTGTTTCCTCTCATTTCTCCAGTTTCTTGTTTCTCCCCACCTCTCCTTTCACTTTTTCTCCCCATTTAATACTCAGGGAACAGATGGTAAGTAGTCAACCCAAACCAGTGAAAATGCTTCCTGTGCATCAGGTATAAAGCAAGCCCAGAAACAAGACACTGCTAGGGTTGATAATACACATTATTTCCACTTTTCATAGTTTTCATTTTAGGCTGGAAAGTCACAATATACTTACCTTTCACATATGAAAGAATATTTTAATAGCAAGTTATTAAACTAGAAAGATAATATGGGATGAAAAAAATCCTAGTAATACTTCTTAGAGACGGGGGGTTGTTGTATCAGAATTTTTAATGTCCTATTATAGAAATTCACCCATCATCTCCTACACAGTACACTTCATAAAACTAATGCTGATGCCTAAGGAAGCCCCATGTATGTACTACACTCAAATTTAGCTGAGGCAGTTACTCTGATCGCTTAAGAAAAACATATGGCGGTAAAGTGCAAGTTCATAATACAACCTGTAATCTGA